GCATTAATTTCCTCGAAGATCTTGCAGAAATCTTCCTTGGAGCACCCGTTCTTCTTTGGTTTTGAACAGTTTTGAGTTTTTTTATACCTTGCAATGAATGAACTAATGGTTGTAAATGGAATATTCGGGTTGTCTGAGATTTTCCTGTAACTTTTACCTTCTTTCCAGAGCTTAACAATCAGTTCTTTTTGCGAATTTGTCAATTCTTTACCTCTTGCCATGATGATAACCTTCTTGCGCGAATACAAACTACGGAATGTTCTGTTTGTATTTTTAGGCTAAAAATAACCTCTGATAACATATTGGAACATTCTAGAATATTCCACTTCAATAATCTAGAGTATTAAAACAATTTAAAATTTTAAAAATGTGAAATTTGCTTTGGTCGAATACTTTTTCATCCATTAAAATGAATAAATGGGATTTATTTCTATTAAATCAAAAAATCTTCTGCATATTTAGTTATTATGCGTCCGTGTACAGTTAATTATATGAAAAGTATGTTTATTCATTTGTTGGAAATACAATAAATTAAAAATGTCTATGTGTATGAATATTTGTTTTCCTCCCTACTGTATATATATATATATATATATATATATATACACGTGTGTATCATATATATATATATATATATATATATATATATATATGTGTTTATACATATATATATATATATATATATATATATATATATATATGTGTGTGTATATATATATGTGTGTGTGTGTGTGTGTGCACGTGCATGCGTGTGTATGTAGGTTAATGGCTAGAGGACCAATTTAGTAGTCTTATATCCAATAAAAAACTACCGAATAAACGCGTTTGGTAAGACATCATTAATGTAATAAACCAAGGGTGGTCGAAATCATATGGTAACGATATTCAAATATTGACAATAGATGCAGATTGCATCCTGTCAGTTGGTAGCTAGGCGTTGATTACAGGCTCTTTGATGGAACAGCCGTTGTGAATATAATGTGGACATTCAGACTTGACAAGCTTTCTAACCATTCCTTGAACAATAACGCCCACACAGGCACACACACACACACACACACACACACACACACACACACACACACACACACACACACACACATACACATATATGTTTTGAACAATAAAAAATATTGAAAAATAAAAATTTTCAGACACCCTGTGTTGTATATTAATATCTTTTTGGTCTTATTATTTCAGTTAGGTTCCTCGACTAGTTTCGGACAGCATGGCCATCATCAGGAGACAAAAAAAATCCTCCTTGTTAGTAGCAGTGAACTACAGGAATGAATGTCTTTCTGAAGGCAATTAACTTTATCTGCGGAGATTCATGCGGCTCAGAACTGGTCATTTTTATTTTGGCTGCAGAAAAGGGAATGTGCCTGTGTTAAGTGTATTTTATCATGTGTCCTTTGGGAGTGTGTTTAATGTGTGTAAGTGTATATATTAGAATGGGTGTGTGTTTAAGTGTGACACATCAACACCTCTGCAGGCATGTCTGTTTTGTTTGGATGAGAAATGTGGTTGGACTTCATTTAAAGGGGTCATATATTAATTCTATCTATGTAGTTAAATTTCTAGTCAAGACCGTCTGGGCGAAGAGTTTGAGGCGCAAAATCCATTTGTCTTCATTTTCTTCTAGAATTTTTCTAATGTTATCTTTTCTGTCTAATTCTATTTTTTTCAATTAAAGTCAATTTGGCATGGTTTTTAAAATCATGTTTTTCTCGGCAGAAATGTTGTTCTACCGGTAATAAACTTTCGTGGGTAACCGACTTGATCCGATTCCGATAATTATTAATTCTGTAGAGATAGGTCCATTCAGATTTTTCTTGCACAGTGTGTATTCTAATAAATAAATTACGTTATGACTTCAACAGTTAGAGTTGTGATAGATTTTGAAAGCAGATTTAGTGACTGAGCTAATGAATGAATTGTCATATCTAATGTAGTTACAACCAAGGATCCTTTTCGACTCAATAATCTCTAGAATAATTAAATCCTAATCGTTACTGCCCACCCAATAACCATCAGGATAATACAATAGACCTTCCTACCCATGATGCACCATTTACCAGTAATATATATATATATATATATAAGGCACGGTGGAGTAATAAATAACGCCTCGGACTGAGGGCTTACATTCAGTTACGTGCTAATACCTTCTCCCCCAGTTATGGGTAAATAGAAAGACTGGTCTAGGAGAAGGACAACTCTGAATTCAAAACCTGACGTGGGGCGGTTGGTGCACCTTCAAAACCTGTATTCGGTCCTTCAAAAGTGTTATTGGTTCTGCACAAATTTTCACCACTGTAATCAAAACATATGTCCTGGTGTCTAGCTATCACTTGACCCTCATACGTCGTATACGACAGGAGAGGCCATATATATATATATATATATATATATATATATATATAGAGAGAGAGAGAGAGAGAGAGAGAGTGATAGATAGATAGTTGAATCAAAGCACAACACACATGAGTTGAAAATTATGCGTTGTGTATTGACATCAATGTTCACTTTTATATTTACATACACTTTATTCCTCATACTGTGCACTTTAACCCATCAATGTAGCATACATTAAAACTATATTTTTAACATATATATATATATATATATATATATATATATATATATATATGTAATTAAAACAAAAAGTGGTCCACGTGTGATTCTTATAATATGTAGATACATAGGTTGATAATAAAACAAGGAAAAACGAAAGGGTACCAATATAAATAGTACGAAAAACATTTATTAAATATTAATTATTAACCATATGACAGAAATGAAGCACGGAGGGAAAAGTTTTATGTTCGGAATTTTCTGACACGCCTGTGTCCTTCATCAACTGATCGAGGAACAAACAGAGAAATGGGAATCACTAACCGACAGATATGTTTGTAGATTATTTTCTAGTGGAAATCGTATTATTAGCAAAAAACAGATCTCTGTCTGAATCCTCGATGTGCGAAACTTTTTATGAAAATAAACTTAAATTAAAAATTTTGATCCTTGTAAATTTTAGGCACGTTACTAGTGTGTATCATGGGAGGAGTGAGATTTTAAACATTGATAAAGATAGTTATAGGTTGGGGAGGGGCAAAGACGTTCGCGTGTAGCAAGTTGTAGCAAAAATTGGCTAATCACGTGGTAGAGTGCTGAAAGACAGGAATATGGTTAGAATATGATGTGATGAAGAGGAAGAAAGAGAAATTGAGAGAAAGGGTTTAAGTTTATTCAGCACTCTGTACTTCCCAATCGGTCACCCATCTGTAGAATATTGGTTAGCTTGAAAATGGTCTGACACGCAAATAGACTGTAATCACTTCAAGTTGCATTTTTTCCTGAGTGATTTAATGGAGAGATATATGGGTGAATAGAATTCACTCAGGCAAATGTGTTGGGCAGGTCCATTCCAGCAAAGTGGACTAACCCACCTGCTGCATTAGATACTCTCCTATAAATGAAGTAGAATTAGCTGGCTTGCCTTTATGAGGAGATACGAGAAGGCAGCCATGTTAGCAGGTAAGTCATTTGACTTCTACACCATCTAGGTATGTGTGTGTGTGTGTGTGTGTGTGTGTGTGTGTGTGTGTGTGTGTGTGTGAGAGATAAATCATGGGCCTAGTATTTTGGGTAGTCCTCATCTAGCCTGACGAAATCACCGGAAGTCATCTGCCGATATGCCGCCTTGAGAGAAATCTCGTCCGGTGAATATGGTGACCAAACCATTTTTAGAAGCCTGTAGAATGTCCCTAAAATCATTTCTGGATAATTTGGGTTCGATGACAAGATGCGTTACCTTGTGGAATAACTAATCGTTGTTGGAAGACGTGTAGTCTATAAATGGGTCAAAATGGACACGGAGCAGTGCAATATATTGATCACCAGTCAATAACGTGTTTAGGCAGACAAGTGGACAAGATCCATATCATATGAACACATCCTAGACGTTTATGGGGTCTGCATGATCGGTACATGGTAAGTGTTGTCAGTCATACTGTTATATCTCGTGCAAGATATAATAAACAAAGTAAACCCGAGTGTGGTTTTCAATAATAATTTTATAATCGGATGTAGGTATGTCAAAATACAGAGACAGAGTCAGGAGTAAGCTAACCGCAATGGTGTTAGTAAACGAAGACCTTTTTTTCTCTACTCTTGACTGCGGTCGTACTTTATCGGCAACCAGTCCGTCCATTATCGTGAATGGGGAAGTTGGGTTATCTCATCACAACACATACAATTATCATGTCATAATTATTGGTGTGGAAGACCTACAATTCATAAAGAAATCAGAAAAAATAACTCCGGGAATAAAAAATAAAATTTAGTGAAAGTGTATGTATGAATGAGAGTGGTGGTGGTGGTGGTGGTGGGGGTTGGGGCGAATGTGAAGGGTAAATGAAAGCTCTAGAGAGGGGGGAAACAGACGAGATAAGAACAGGAAGGCCTAAAAGTGAAGGTGGGGATTAAAATTTAACAGAGAGAAGTTTTAAAGAAGGGGTTAAAAGACTGTTTAAATAAGCGAAATAAAGATAAATATGAATTATTTTCCAATGCATTATTCATTACTGAATCGCTGACTTAAATTAAATTAAAAACCGACACCGGAAATCGGTGTATACATTTGTGGTGACACTACGCACAATAAAAGACGATATAATTTAAACTTAAAATCAGAAGATGAGAGAGAGAGAGAGAGAGAGAGAGAGAGAGAGAGAGAGAGAGAGAGAAAGAAAAAAAGAAAAACGGAGAGGATGGAGGAGGGCATTTATTTATAAAAGAGCCGCTGTACAATCAAGAAAATTTGACAAAAGTAAAATAAAAAACTCCAATAATTTTTGGATTAAAGCCGACAAATCTCATAATATCTATAAAATTAAACACACATATATATATATATATATATATATATATATATATATATATATAGGAGAGAGAGAGAGAGAGAGAGAGAGAAAGAGAGCAAACTAAGCTCTGTAGCTTTAGTAAGGCAAGCAGACTACAAGAAAGGAAGTTCTAAATTCAGTCATGGTAGATACATGACTCATACGCAAAGGAGAAGAAAAAGTCGAAGGAGAAGGAAGAGGAGGAGAGGGAAAACGATGACAAAAAAAGATAAAGAAAAAGACGATGAAAAGGGCAAACAAAGATGGATGAAGAAGAAATAGAAAGAGGGGAAAAGAAATGTCAGAAAGAGTAGAAGGCTGACGATGACAACGAATAAAAAAGACGAAAAAGAAAGACGATAACGAAGAAAACGACAGAAAAAAAGGACGAAAAATAAATAAAAAAAGACAAAAAAACAAAAAAAAAAAACCCTGATTGATTATTTCAAGAAAATTCTGCCGAGGAACATCGATCTCTGTGATATCTTTGCTACGCAATCAACATAAAAAAAAAGATGGCGTCACAATTACGACAACGGAACAACTGCTGACGGTTTTCGTCTCATTTTCCCGTTCTTTTGTGGACATATGTGACAGTTGGCACTTAGCGCGCGTTTCTTTCACTATTCCTGGCAGCCAGCAACCCTTCTGAGACAACGTTTTATTACTCCGCATTCATTTCCTCCTCAAATCCATTTTTATATCGTTAACTTTCTTTAATGGCATCCGTACAAAGTGAATGATTTCATTATGGTAATGCACGGAGAGAATTGATTCACCATAGATAAAAATCAGTCTAAAAGGTGAAACACATCAAAGACTATGGCAGATGAACAGGTTTCATCCATCCACAGATCTATCTATCTATCTATCTATCTATCTATCTATCTATCTATCTATCTATCTATTCATCCTGTTTATAATTAGAATGCATTTGATTGCTATAAAAAGACAGACAGATAGATAGATAAATCGATGAACAGAATAAGATAGATCGATCGATCGATATATAAATAGATAGATCTATCTATCTATCTATCTATCTGTCTGCTCATGTATATATGTACGTACGTTGGATCTATCTATCTATCTATCTATCTATCTATCTATCTATCTATCTTTTCATCCTGTTTAAATACATAGATAGATATATTAACAGAATAAGGTAGATAGATAGATAGATAGATCGATATATAAAGGGACAGACAGAGATATATAGATAGATATGAACAGAGCTAGATTGATAAATGGATTAATAGAATAAAATCGATCGATCGATCGGTAGATCTATCTATTTCTCTCTGTTCACATCTATCTATCTATCTATTGATACTAAAAAAACTAATAAATACCAATATATCTATCACAGATTCAAGTAAAAAAATTAAATTAATTATTTACTATACTACATTCATTATATCCAATTTAATCATTCGTAATGACTCCTTCCTATCAATTAACGTGTTGCAGAAAACCAACATTATATACCAATTTATGTCACTTGGGAGATTGTTTCATCAACAGAAAAATAAATTATATGTTGGTCACACTACAAATACGTTGTCGATTAGTTTGAGTTTTCATATGAACGATGCATCTAACCTCTCAGAACATTTACGTGGCTGTCCATATTCGCCAGTTAGAAAAATTCTTGTTGAAAATGCATCTATACTTTTTCATAAAAATAATAAACATGAACTAAGAATTCTTGAAGGTATCTATATTAAAAATTAAAGTCAACCTTAAATAAAATTATTTATGAATACTGCACAAATGTTTTAAAATGTTTACAGTGTATAGCTAAAAATTAATAGTTTTTTCTTTAAAAATAAACATTTCAATAATTTAGTTACCTCCCTTGACGTGTATGTTTACACCATGAAATTAAAAAAAATGTATTGTACATAGGTTTATCATTTTTTCAGTTCAATTTTGTTTTCGCAAAGACAAAACCCTGAAGATAACATTGTGCTAATGTCAAAAGTACTCGGGAATAAAATAGATTACATCAATTTTCTGCCTTCCTGTAATAAGAATACTAAGTAACTGGTTCGTAAATATGAGGGGATCCTATTAAAAACAAGCAGACATGTATAAACATATTCGTCTGATGATTTTTATTACATGAAACTTTTAGTAGTATATTTTGGTATTCATAATATATATATATATATATATATATATATATATATATATGTGTGTGTGTGTGTGTGTGTGTGTGTGTGTGCAGATATGTAGAAAAATAGGAAAGAACACGTTATATATATTATAATTATTTTAAAAAAAATATGATTCCTTCGCTACATAAGAGTTCTCATGCTTAAAAACGAGATCCGAAACACTCAATTATTAAAATTAAATTGAATTAAAGTATCAAGCCCTGTTTCATCCTCAAGCGAAAATTTAGGAATAACCAATCTTGAAATTTACTCACCTTTATAAGCATGTTCATTCGCAAAATTAATTACTATGGAAACGACCATTTTGTCACACGAGTTAGTTTGTTTTTAAACACACACACACACACACACACACACACACACACACACACACACACACACACACACAGACACACACACACACACACACACACACACATATGTATATATATATATATATATATATATATATATATATATATATAAGGTGTATTTGGGTAACAATTTTCATTGAAAAAAGTTTGGTTTAAAAAACCCGAAATTCTTTGTGAAGCACGTTTTGCGTATTTTTCATATTTTGAACTATTTTCTTGTTTCCTCGTGAAAGATAATTAAATACAATATCTGAGTACTGTCGACTTTCATATGCTATTATCGAAAAGATTTTGTTCACAAATATCGGACGATATGTATGTAATTTTTTGTCATCTCTCAGTTTCATCAATTTTTTTCAAATATCGAGTTTTCACGTGCTTCGTTAATTTTGAAAGTATTGTTGTCTAGACGTGTTAATTTTTGCTATCGTGTCTTTTTTTTAGATACGAAATTTTTTATGATTGTCCCTAAATTTTCATAAAGTTTTGTGGATATTGGTTTATTTGTTTGTTTTATTATCAATAACTCTTATATGTGCAGCCTTTTTGAGTTGCAGTAACTGAACTATTATCAAATAAGTATCACGTTAATCAGCGTGATAAAGTAGTGGTTGTGTAACCAATGTATATATTGTGTGAATTATCATTAGAGAGACCAATACAGGCTAGCAAATACACAACATTGATTTTGAGTTGATGTTTTAATTTTTGCTAAAAGTCGGGATCATGGAGGTTTTTAGTTATCTTTTCTTGTAGGTGATGAGTTTAATTTGTTTTTGCCGTTAGGTGATATGAATTATTCGTTTTGTTTCAATTAATTTGCATAAGGGTAAAAGTAATCAAAAGTCAAAACAATTTTCCTCTCCTTATCGACAATTTCATTTCATAAAATGTAATCTGACAGACTTGCTATGATGTCTTTTCATTTTCTTGTTCTACGAATATTATTGAAATCGAACCGAATCATAATTCAATATAGTTATTTCTCCTGAGTGGGGTTGGGGAGAGAAATATTTTCCCCTGAAATTGACAAGAAAAGTTTCATTTCTTTCCTATACAATGATGACCTTTTTTTTTCATTTTTGAGTTTATTGTAAACACAGAAAATCGGTCTCTCTTCTCCAGGAACAATCAGGTAAAGATCAATGTTTTCCTTCCCGAAAAGAATATTCTTTCAAATGATTGAATTCTACGCTTGTTTGGTTGGTAAATGTTCTCGAAAGAATAGAAGTTCATGAAGAACCCAAAACCTTCCGTGGGGGAGAATTTCTGGTTTCACTTTTGTGATTTCTTTCTTTCACATACAATGATGACTACTGTTTTTGTGTGTGTGTGTGTTTGTTGATAACAAACAGAATCCATTTCTCTTCTCCAATAACAGTCTGGCGAAATATTGCAAATGGTTGAATTATGAGATTGTTTGGTAGATACTCACGAAGAACAAAAAAGTTCATTATTATATGCCTAAGTAGTGGGACCAGCATACTCATCTTGATAGTTATTCTCACGACTTTTCGATCGTTGAATTCTTTATCCTCTTTCATATTTGACTGATTTTCCATGATTAATCTTAATAAAACGGCATTTTCCCGTTTAGTTTTGAGTTCATGCAAGATGCATTGAAAATGTCATCATCTACGAATCTGCTTTGGTCAACTTACAACCGTGTTTCATCAATACATTTTGCCCGTTTTAATTATAATGGCGTTGAAACATTCAGAATTATGTAAAATATATAAACAAATGAAGATAAGATAAAAAACTGAAATGAAATTTTGAAAATCTAATTCCATGAGCGACAGATATAAAATTAACAAAACAAACTGTCGTTCATATGACTAACAGAAATTAGGTCTGGGTCGAAGCAATCTAGATTTGGTTGGAATAAAATCATTTTTCGGATGAGGCTGTTTCAGCCGCAAAAAATGTCATAAGAGTTAACACATTGTCATCCAAATTCATACAATTTTCCAGCACCCTTCATAGCCTGATAGCCATAAATATACCCTATCTTAAAACTATATATTTAACACACACACACACACACACACACACACACACACACACACACACACACACACACAGATGTATACATATATACAGTACAGGTAATAAATCCGTTGGTATATAATCCAGGTGGATCCTAGCAATATCAGATATTAAAACAGAGGTCAATGTATTTATTCTATATATATATATATATATATATATATATATATATATATATATATATATATATGGGTATAGACTATTATAGACTATTAAACCGGCGCAAACTTATGATAGTCCTCCTCAGGTCAGAGTTATGATGGCTTGAAATAGACTATACCCACATAAGATAATTTAGGATTTTTTGCTGTAATATATATATATATATATATATATATATATATATATATATATAATTGAACAATAAAAAAATATTAAAAAATTAAAATTTTCAGACACACTGGGTTGTAGATTAATATTCTTTCGTTTTTTTTATTATTATTTCATTTAGATTCCTCGACTAGTTTCGGCCAAAATGGCCATCATCGGGAGAAGAAATATTTCTGCTTTCTGGTAGCAGTAAACTACAGAAATGAATGTCTTGATGGAGAAAATGAACTTTTGTCTGTGGTTTTCATTTGTTTTTTTATTTTTTTAACATGAATCTTTTAACATTCTTTGTGTTGGTCAAACAGTCTCTTTTAAGTTGTTATTTGAGATAAGAGCTGGATGGATCTATGCTTCCCTGAATTCCCTTGGTCAGTTTGACAGTTTTATTGGTCCTGGAGAGGGGATGTGTCTCTGTTTAGTGTTTGTGTGTGTGTTGTTTGGTTCTTAGGGAGTGAGTGAGTATGATATGTGTAAGTATATATATATATACGATAAAATATAATTTTAGCATATGCTATATTTATGGGATAAAAATGCTTGTATGTATATGTATATATATTAAATCTGCTTGTTATCATTTGTGAAGATTGTGTAAATACATATTTACGAATTTCGAACCATTTAAATGAAATCAACATTTTACTTGACGAAACTTATCAAACAACTATTCCTTTTCTTGCTTCGGATCAAATGTCATTTTTTGCATTTTTTTTTTAATTCTGATTTTTGCTGTTTTTTTTTATTCTTTATTGACACGCGTCAT